AGATGTGGTTAATGCTGACTGAAAAAATTCTAAGTCCAAATCCTTGACTCCTTCTTTTGCCCCCAAGATTTCAGTTTAGAATCTTTTATGTACCTAGCTAGTCTTTAAAGTTCCTGGGATAGCTTTTTTAAAATTGCATGTGTGATGGCAATAAAGAAGGGGCCCCTTGATAGACTAGAGGGAGGTACATCTGGGGGTAGGATGCTGGTGAGGAATAGGTGAGAGAAGACACAGAGGAAATGACCAGCCAGGTGTGTGTCAGTGGAGATAAAATGGATGTATTGAATAGTAGAGTTTTCTTCAAGAAATTTGATAATTATTTCAATAAATAGAAATATTTCTGTAAGTGCCTAGCAATTTCTAAACTAGTTTGTGCATGTGCATGCACACACACACACACACACACACACACAATCTTGATTTAAGTTTTTAGGATTACTAAATACCTTTAAGCCATTGAGTAATAGTTTTTCATTCTAAATACTTTTAGTGGTTTGTAATATTTTCCACTTGCTCGGGAGTTTCATCAAGAGCTAATAAGCAAGTAGGAGCAAGTTATGGAAAGGGCCACACCTATCTACCTAGAAAAGAAGCAACTGCTTCATTCAGCAACAAGGCAGGCTTATCATAAAAGAAAACACCTGAACAGCAAGTTGGGCTGTGTGCATACTGCAGATGCCTAACTACCAGCTTTACTCCTCATATCTATGTAAGAGAGTCACTTTTTAAAAAACATGCTCTAACATTTGAAAGAGAAGGGTTCTCATGCACTTTAGAATAGAATGTAAATATTCTTGCCCTCATACTTTAATGAGAACCTGAGGCTTTCTCTTCCCAGCAATTCTCAAAGGCTGTTGGCATTCCCAAGTGGAGAATGACCTAGTTTTGAGGATGACATACATAGTGTGACATATTGCACTTCTGGAAGAGGGAAATATACTTAAAGAACAATCATTCAACATTTTGGGGAATTCTACTGTAATGACTCAAGGCACAAGTAACACATTCATATGAAATTTTCTTTTTTTTAATCCTCACCCGAGGACATTTTTCCATTTTTTGTTCAGACAGAGTGGGAAGGAGAGAGAGGAACAGAGAGAGAGAGAGAAACATCGACGTGAAAGGAACACATCGAGTGGCTGCCACCCACACGACCGACCAGGGCCGGGGACAAACTGCAACCGAGGTATGCACCCTTAGCGGGAACCGAACCTGGGTCTCTCAGGACCGCAGGCCGACGCTCTAACCGCTGAGCCAAACTGGCCAGGGCTGAAATTTTCTTTTAGGAGGCTTCATATTGTTATAGGCAGTTAGACAAACATGAGCAAAGTAAGGACAATGGGCCAGATACAGAAATTCACCAGGGCAAAAAGCTTGGATGCCTGGCAAGGGGCAAAACTGAGAAAACAAAAACCTCATCTCTAGGGTAACCTTTCCTCCTTTAGCATATCGCTGGTCATGTGGTTTGGACTCCCCCCCTCCCCCCCCCCGACTTTTTATATAACTAGTCATGCGGTTTAGACTCCCTGACCTTTTCTTCCCTGAAGATAACATCCAGGCCTCAGCTGTATTTCAGCTCCAGGTCCAGAAAAGCAGCAAAACCAGACAAGTGATGTTGTGGCTGCTTCAGAACCAGCTATATTGACTAATGACCCCCTGCCCTGGCTCGGACCAATCAGTGGAGAACACAACCCTGAAAGAGCACACCTGGAAAGCGGATAAATATTCTACTGAGACCCTCCCTGAGACCTCCCCTAAGATTCCCACCTGCAAGAGAGAGATAAATACCCTCAACACAAAGGACCCAGTACACGCTCGCCCATCCCCCGGCCCCACACACACACAGGGGAGTATGCTCAAGCCATTCTCTTCCCCTTTCTTCCCTCTAAGGGACCACACAAAACTTGCAACCAGGAGAGCAATGGGCAGTGGCGGCTCATCCTGGGCTAACCCCTGAACCTGTCTTCAAGGCCCTCTTTTCTCTGATTTCTCAGTAGGCCAAAGCAGCCCAGCCTAGACTCTCCTGTTGCTTTTTCTATGTCCTTCTTTGTTTCACTATCCGAAGTGTGTTTTTGCTGCAACCAATAAATCTTTCTTGCTTTGCAGTACTCTGTCTCTTGATTGAAATCTTACCTTCAAGAAGACAAGAACTGAGTCTCGTCATCCCGCCGGTAACAACATGACCTAATTCCATCCATTCATTCAACATTTATTAAGCACCTACCACATAGTTCTAGTCACCTGGGATACAGCAGTGAACCTTGTTCTCACACAATTAACATTCTATTGGGGAGATAGGAAATAAACAAAGGAAGAAATACATAACGTATTTGAGGGGAAAATGAAACAGACTAAGAGGATAGGGAATGACAGAAATGCTATTTTATGAAGATAGTAATAATGAGGATAATGAATTTAGGTGACATTTGAGCTGAGACCAGAATGAAGAGAGTTAGTAATGGGACAATGTGGAAGAAGATTAGATATGAGACAGAGGGTATAGCAAGTGCAAAGTTCCCAAAGTAAAAACATGCTTTGAAGAACATCAAGAAGGCCAGTGTGACTGCAGTAGAATTATGGAGGGGAAGTTCAGTCTCATAGGCCAAGGAAAGGACTTTGGATTTTAAATATGTTGGGAAGCAAGTGGGAGATTCCTAACAAGAAAGTGACGTAATCTGACTTACACAAAAGATCATCTATCTGGTTACTATGTGCATCACAGACTAAGCAGCAAAGTGGAAGCGCCCATTAAGAGAGTACCACCATAATCTAGACAAAAAAAGGCAAATTGAACTAGAGTTGTAGAGATAGGGGTGCTAGAAAATATTCAGACATATTTTGAATATAGGGCCAGCATGACCTGCTTAAGGACCAGAGATTAGGTCAAGCACCATATTTGTGGTATATCTAGAATCTGCCACCAGTTCTTCTGGTTCTCAATTCATGGCTCCGCATCACACCAAACTCTCCTTATCCCATGGAATATCAATGTTCATAATGTCCTGTGAAGTATTCCTTTCAAGGTATATATTTGAAGTGTTCTCAATACAGAAACTACCTTCTTGGAATCTACTTCACAAACCATTAAATGCAAACGAAATGTGCTATATGTGAAGTAGTCATGATGTTTAACACTCTGGCAACTAGTTCAGATGTGTCAGAGACAGCAATGATATTTAGATGTGCATTATACAGATGATATATATTAATTCACAATTATTGTATTAGCAGACAAAGACATCCTTTGACTATGTGTGCATAGCTGGGAAATACTCTATTTATAGTCAGGAAACTTTCAAAATACTCAGTGCTTTTTTTGCCATGAACATCAATCTGGTCCTTGATCTATCAGAATTTATATTCTACCTAACTTTCAATTAACTAGGTATTGAATATCCGTTGTGTCAGACAATACATTAGACATGAAAAACAAAAATGAATGGTCCCTTTTCATCAAGTATACAGACAAAAACAAATGAGAAAGATTTCTTATTAAAAAAAGAAGCAAATTAAAAAAAAAAAAAAAAAAACTGCAGATGCCTGTTGAAAACTACGGATCAGGTAATGCTAAACAGAACAACTAGATCTGGAATTAACAGGGGAAGTTTCCCTGGATGGGTGAACATGTGTTTTAAGGAATCAGATTTGGCAGGTAGAATATTCCGGGCATGGAAAACACAGCACAGAAAGTCTAGAGTGGAAGCAAGTACACCATAGCCTATGAGTCCACACCCAAGTGTAATAGGACAAGATTATTATTAGCTAAGGGTGGAGGAGGCAATTAGAGGAAAGCTGCAAACACAAGCCAACTAGTATACAAGTGACATATGAAGAGGAATAAAAGTGATCTAAACAAAGCATTTATGTGTTTTTTGTTGTTTTGCTGCCTGTAGTACACATTATAAATGTTTGCCACTGAAGGCAGATTTTTACATTCATACATCTCTCAACATTCATCAGTATATGCCAACATGTTTATTAAGTACTTTTAATACACAACTTTTTAAAAAGTCAAGACACACTATGTAAATGCTTTTCTGGCCGGACCGGGTAGCTCAGTTGGTTGGAGTCCTCCCATACACCAAAAATGTTGCAGGTTGGATTCCAGGTGGGGCTCCTAGGGAAGACAACTGATAGATGTTCCTCTCTAGATGATTCTCTCTCACATCAATGTTTCTCTGTCCCCCACCTTTCTAAAATCAATAAACATATCCTCAGGTGAGGATTTAAAAAAAATTTTTTTTCGGAAGAAAACCCATCCAAACAGCAGATAATGCATCAATTCACGGACAAAGGCAAGGAGAGAGGAGCGGTTTTCCATACCCCGCTTTTAAGTCAGAAGAACTATGTTTTAATCAATGAGATAGGAACGCCTTTAAAGTGCTTGAAACAGAGTCTGGTCCGTAGTAAGCAGTCAACAATTTATGGTTATTATTTTGACCTTAGATCTCTCTTCATCTTTTGGGCTTCTGTTTTCTCATTTGCGGAGATGGGTCACAGATGGTCTCTGGGGCTCCTGCTAGCCCTGCCAATCTCCTATTCAAGTGGGCATCGAATAAATCTTTGCTGAACAAAGTAAACTGTCTCTCCTTAGGGCCCGGCTGAGCGCCCACCCGAGAGCCAGCAGGGAGGGAACACAGGGTCCTCCCGCTGGTCCAACACGCGGATGTTTGGGGGTAAAAGACCTATAGGCGGGACTGAGCCAGAGTCCGGGTTCGCAACCCTAGGCCCCCGGGGACCAGTCCACGCACCACTTCTGCCAATGACAGGCGACCCTCCGCGCTCGTGCCCCGCCCGCGGCGGGAACGCCTCTTCCAACCCAGCGGGGCAGGGAACCACCGCCTCCAGCGACCCTCCTCCGCCGACGGCGGGCCACGCCCTTTCCGGTGTAGGCCACGCCCACGGACCCGCCCCGCCGCGAGCTCAGCGCCGGGTCCTCTCCTCGCCCGCCCGGGCCGCGTCCACCCTCGACGCTCTGAGGTCACCGACGGGGCCGGGCTGCGGGGGGCGGAGGGACGGAGGGAAGATGGCGGCCGCGGCCGGATATTGGCGCCGCCTCCCCCAATCCTGGAGCCGGCGCAGATGAGGCGGGTCGGCTGGGGCCAGCGGCGCTTCGGAACCCGAGCTGGGGGGACGCTGGCGGTGGGGCCTGGCCCTGCTCCATGCCGGCGCCTCGGCTAGAGTGAGCGGCAACGGCGGCGGCGCCTCTTCGCTCCGGCTCGTTCCCTGTGGCTGTGAGTCCGAGCGGGTGGCGGGCGGCCAGGCGACGGGGTCGGGATGGAGGACGTTAACTCCAACGTCAACGCGGACCAGGAGGTGCGGAAGCTGCAGGAGCTGGTGAAGAAGCTGGAGAAGCAGAACGAGCAGCTCAGGAGTCGCTCGGGGGCCGTGCAGGGCGCCGGCTCCCTCGGGCCCGGGAGCCCGGTTCGAGCCGGCACGTCCACTCCCTCCTCTGGCTCGGCGTCCCCTCGGGGCTTCCCCTTGGGCCTCAACGTCAAGTCGAGCAGCGGAGCCGGGTCGGGCCCGAGGCGGACGAGTAGCGAGGAGCTGCGGGACGCCACCTCCTTGCTGGCAGCAGGCGAGGGCGGCTTGCTGGACGAGGTGGAGCCGCTGCGGCCGGAGGAGCTGGAGCGCCTGTCAGGCTGGGAGGAGGAGGAGGAGAGCTGGTGAGCGCGGGTGGCCGGGCCGGGCTGGGCGGGGACGAGCCTGGGGACCGAGAGCGTCTTCCGAGGGTCCCCCTGGTAGGACACCTCGCTTTGTGTGGCTGGATCCGCTCTCTCACGGGGAGTCGTGGTTTTCTTGCTTTGGCTGGGGAAAGGTCAGCTGGAGTTGGGGGTTCGAAGCGTGTGTAGGAAGGGGTGTGTAGTAGCTAGTTCTCTGGGTTGTGCACCCTCTGGGTTTTGGACCCCGTTGGGGTCTGTGGGTTGGCACAGCCAGTGGGAGGAGTCGGAGGTGGGAAACTGCTTTGTAGGAAGGGATCCTGCTTTGTGTGAAATGAAATACTGGCTTTGGGATGGTGGCCTGGGCATTTTCCCTGTCGGGGAGGGGTCTGCTTGATGAGGTATCGTCGGGAGCGGGGAGCAGACAATAGTGGTCTCAGTCTGTGCAGAGGGGTCAGTGTTTTGGTCAAGTGAGAGATGGGTACATTTTTGCCGGCGAGGGAGAAACCCTGTGAATCAGCACTCCCCTTTGGGTAGTGGGGTAAAGCTGGCTTTGTGTGGAGAGAGCAGAGGATGGTGCTGCTTTGTGTAAAGAGTCAAGGGTGGAACAAGAGCCTTGGCTCTTATTTTTAAACAAGAATTGGGTCTGGCATTTTTTGGAGCTGGACAATTATCACATCTATCTTCTCTTGCCATCTTTAAATAGGGCTCTTGGAAAGCCCTAGCTGTATTTTTATAAGCCAACTTCTTGATAAAATTGTGAGACCCACACGGTAATATCACTTCCATAAATAGAAAGGACATAGGAGGCGGTTTTTCTCATATTTTATTGCAACCACATAAAGATGTCTATGGTAAATTCTTTCTCTTAATTTAGCCCTTCATAACGTTTTAATTTTTAGCTAAAATGTTTCTACTGTGTCGAAATTGAAACTTCTAAGTTAGTGAAATCAAAATCCTTCATGGACTCTGGTGTTGCAGGGCTGCAACTTTACAGTGTGCTGAGGTAGTTAAGAGTTTTGCCTGGATGCAGGCCCTGGCTCTGCCACTTACTAGTTGTATGACCTTGGGCAAGTTACTCTGAGCCTTATTTTCTTTCTGTTTGATGGAGAAAATAATATTTCTTAACTCTGTAGAGTTGTGAAGATTAAAAGAATCCATATATGCTTTTAGCACTGGATCTGACATATAGTCAACTCTCCAAGACTAGCTGCTGTTACTCTTAAGCCTAGTTATTTAAATCAAGAAATGTTTACAAGATCTTACAAAATCTTGTGGGAGTTTCTAAAGATTCTTAAAGGTTGATCCCTGTTCATTTAGGCAGTTACAGGCTTGTTGGGAGCCAAGTTTTATGCAGTTAAATGACCTGGATGTATACATTGAATTGCCAAAAAGAGTGATAGGAACAAAAAGTACTGAGAATGCTGAAATTGGGGGAAAAAATAATAGTCCAAAGTAGTTGAGGCAAACTTGAAGGATGAGAGGTGACTTTGGAGGGAGGGAGAGTGGGAAGGGAATTTTATGCTCTGACAACTGCTAGAGCAGAGTCAGAGAGATATTTGTAACTCCCAGTTAGAAGGTTTGAATTACAGAGGTACTCTTGAATATTTGATGTCAAGTCTTTATTTTATTGTTAAGTGATAACAAATACTAGAACTGACTATGATATTGACAGTTTTTCATATTCGTGTGAAATCACGTCTTCCCAAAGGAATCTTGGGTATGTATACACTTTAAAAGAACCCAGAATCATCTAAAAATTATCACATGCCTCTTCCAAGTGATGATAATAAGGAGGATTAGTTGCACTCATCAGCCCATTTTAGATTATGTATTATTAGAACACATTGACTCCACTTTGAGAAGCTGATTAAGTCTCACAGCTTTGGTTTCTGAGTATAGGGTTTGTTGAGCACGTCTTCTTAAATACTACGCTAGAAATTTCTTTTGATTGGGTGTTTTCTGCCTACTGCTTTGATCCTGGCCACATTTCTGGATATTAAAGATGTCTTATACTTTTTCTGGAAAAAAAAAAAGTGTGGATCGAAAGCTTGATAAATATATTTAAAGTGCTTTGGGATATGTGTTTGGAGTATAAGTTGGAAGGGGTGGGTGTTAGTGACAGGGGAAGGAAGATTCAAAGAGTCATGAGTTTTTTTTTCTTAGTAAGCTAAAAATCTACTTTCTGTATCTTATACCCATTGTACCTTCTTTTTCATCTAGGAATACCCCCTCCCTCCCCACCAAGTATATAACAATATAATGCCAGTCTGAATATGTTAGTAGATATTGTGTGAATAAATAGTGGTGGGTCTGAGGTCAAATATAAAATCAAGGTTTAACAAAAATGAACAGGTTTTTTTTAATGCTGGACTTTTTTTAATATGCTAATGTAGATTGAATATAGTAAATCTCTAAGTGTTGGTTTCCTAAACTTATTTGAGCTCCTAAGGAACTATAGAACAAACTTAGAAAACAGTACTCTAGAGCAGTGGCTTTCACAGTGCCTTTTTTGGGAGGTCTAGCTTCATGATAAATACATTTTGCATCATAGGCTAGTATCAATATATATATATGATTAATTGAAACAAAAGTTTCACATAACTATAGTTACTTTTAGTACAGGTGTTATCCTCTAATATTTTCTGTTCTATTTCTTTAGGAAAAAACACTGGTTATAACCCACTAAGCTGATTTTGTGACCCATTAATGGATTTTACTTTGAAAAACACTATTCAAGAACAACTAGGAAAAATCTAGAGGAACTAACATCATTGTGTATCGCAGTGTGTCAGGCTATGCTAGGCTGTTTATAAACATTTTTGTACTTAACCGCATTTAATTTTTATCCATTTATCAGGTAGGTATCATCTAGATAAGGAAACTTAATCTCTCTCTTAAGCATCAAATGACACACAGTAAATGACGGAGCCAGGATTTGAAACCAGGTCTTTATGACATCAAAGCCTATGCTGTTCTCACTATTTTTTTTTTTCAAGTATAATCTCTTTTCCAAGTGAATGACTCCTCAAAATATTTGAAAACTACTGTCATGACTCTCTTAACACCTTCTCCCCAGAACTGTACTCAGCATTTTAGATGATACTTGACCAGACAGTGTATATTGGATATAATTGCTTGAGCTAAATGCTATTATGTTGAAACCAAGTATTTAATTAACAGTTTTAAATTCTGCTACTTATGCTTAATATGAACCTGCAGGGTCAGATATACTCTATCTTGTCATGATATTCCAGATTATATATTCTATCTTGTCATGATATGCCAGATTGACATATTTCAGATCTTTTCCATTATTTGGTAGGGTAGGCCTAAACCTTTTTCAGGCGTACTATCTATCACCTTGCCTCAATTGAACTTTAGTTTTCTTTGAGGGGTGTGTATTCGGCTTGTCCATTTGAACAATCTATTGGCAGAAAAACAGAAGCTAAGGAAGAATTTTTCTGCCTACTCTTTGGCATCTACTATCATTGCATATTTTGCTGCAGTCTTTTTATACTAACCCTCTCAGTGTAAATTTTTAAAATATATTTTTATTGATTTTTAGAGAGGGAGAGAGTGAAACATAGACTGGCTACTTCCTGCACGCTCCCTACCAGGGATTGAGCCCGCAGACCCAGGCATGTGCCCTGAATGAAAATCAAACCGGCAACAGGACGATGCCCAACCAACTGAGTCACACAAGCCAGGGCACAATGTAATTTTTTTCTCCTTAAGTTTTGATTTGTTGAGATAAAGTTTACACACAATAAGATTTACATGTTTAAAGTGTGTAATTCACTGATTTTTAGTATATTCACAAAGTTGTGCGACTGTTTCCACTATCTAACTCAGAACATTTTTATTATTCCCACAAAACACTCCAACTTGTTATCAGTCAGTTCCCATTTCCCTCAGACCCGAGCTCCACTTATCTACTTTCTGTGTCTGTGGAAGCACAAATATTGTATGATTCCACATCTTTGAGTTACCTAAAATAGTTAAATATGAGACAAAAGTAGAATGTTAGTTGTCATAGGCTAGGGGGCAGGTACTGTTTAATGGTATGGAGTTTCAGTTTGGAAAAATAAAGCTCTGGAGATGGATGGCTGCACAACAATGTGAATGTACTTAATGCCACTGAAATATGCACTTAAAATGGTTAATATGGTAAATTTGATATTATGTGTATTTTGTCATGATGAAATGGATCAAACACCTAAATGTAAGAGGTAAAATTATAAACCTCTCAAAAGAAAACACAGGAGTAAATCTCATGATCTTGGATTAGGCAGAGGTTTCTTGGCTATGACACTAAAAGCACAAGCAACAAAAGAAAGAATAGATGAATTGGACTTCATAATATTAAAACTTTATGCTTCAGAGGGCTCCTTCAAGAAATTGAAAAAAACAACACACATAGTAGGAGAAAATACTTGTAAATCATCTCTCTCCCTAGGGATTAATATTTACAATATATAAGGAACTCTTAAAACTTTAACAAAATAAAGACAGGTAAAGCAGTTAGAAAATGGGCAAATGGTTTAAACAGACATTTCTCCAAAGAAAATATACAAATGGCCAATAAATACATGAAAAGATGCTGGACATCATTAGTCATTAGGCAAATACAAATCAGAACCACAATGAGATACCAGCAGACTATATAACAAAAAAGACAGATAATAACAGGTGTTGCCGAGTATATGCAGAAATTGTAACCCTTGTACATTGCCAGTGGGAATGTAAAATGGGATAGCCACTGTGGAAAACAGTTTGGCAGTTTCTCAAAAAGTTAAACGCGGAATTACCATTTTACCTAGTAATTCCACTTTTAGGTATATACCCAAGAAAATGAAAATATAGCCATATAAAATCTTATAAACAAATATTCATAGCAGCATTTTTCATAATATTTGAAAGGTGGGAACAAACCAAATGCCCATCAACTGATGAATGGATAAACAAAATGGGGTACTATTATTCAGACCTATAATATTTGTGCT